AACAAAATAAAATGAGAAAAAGCGTGTAAAGATGCCTGTCTGCTCTGTGATATTCAGCTCTTTAGATCAGTATTACACACACACACACACACACACACACACACTCGCATCAGTAGATAGACACGTTGTTTCTCAGTGGGCTGGTGGTTCTGCTTGGATTTACAGCGTCTTTAATCAAAGTGATTCATCTCCACTGAACTTAAACTTGACTTTCGGGCGTCTGATTGATGGCTCTTTCAGAAGCACTCACACAAACACACACAAAACCCCAAAACAGCCACACAATGCAGCTCCACCCCCCCCACCCCGCCATAACTGCCCCTGCCCCATCATTCTGCCCCGTCTGAAGAGCATCTGCCCCTCCTCCGCCCCGTGGCGCTGCGAGTGTCTTTCACAGTGTGTGTGAGGGTGACTTTCCCATGCCACACCATCACTCACACACACCGCCCCCCTCGCAGCTGCCACACACACACACAAAACACTGCAGTCACACTTGAACTTGAACGCGCTCGCGTGGAAAACCCAGACTCGTGGCATCAGGGTCTGACCTGGTCACATGACCTCAGACCTGGTCACATGACCTCAGATTCTCTGACAGGAATCCCTACGCACACAAACCAATCTCACACACAGGAGCAAGAGTGCGCATTCATGAGGATCTGAACTATAATGATAGCTATAACCATAACAATAACTAATGAAAACTTTAGTGATAACTATAGTAATAACTACAACAGTAACTATAACCATAACAATAACTAATAACTATAGTAATAACTACAACAGTAACTATAACCATAACAATAACTATGAATAACTATAACAAAAATGGTAACTACAACGATAAACTTTAACCGTAACTATAACCATAACAATAACTAACGATAATAGCAATAACTATAACAGTAACTATAACCATAACTTATAATAACCATAACAATAACTATAACTAACGATAACTATAGTGATAACTAACAATAATGGCAGCTATAACGATAATCATAACCATTAAAGCTGCAAGCAGCATTAAGCGGGGTTCAAGCGTTTAAGGCCTTTAAGCACATACGCATTAAAGACATTAAGTCTTATTTAGCAAGCATTTCTCCACTGACATCAGAGATGGAAAAGACCATTTACAGCCAATACTGGCAATTTACCATAGGAAATATATGGTTTTCAAAGCTTTTTGACAGTTATAGCGCCATGTATGGTCTGATCTCCATAAAATTTTGTATCCTTGTTTACTATGTTATGTCACATAAGCCCACCAATTTTTGTAAAGTTCTGAGTTTTCATTTAGGTTTTTTAGGCTTTCGAGTGCATTTTGCCACATCCATTTTCTAAATGACCCTGTTATAGCCATGCAAATGCAAAAGTTCAACTTTTTTGGTCTGTCTGGTCTGGTTCGGTCTAGGTCTGTCTGGTCTGGTTTGGTTTGGTCTGATCGGGTCTGTTTTTTTGGTTTGGTCTATCTGGTCTGATTTAGTTTGATCTGGTCTGGTCTGATTTTGTTTGGTCTGTTCTGGTCTGGTTTGGTTTGGTTTGATCTGGTCTGGTCTAGTTTGGTTTGGTCTAGTTTGGTTTGGTCTGGTCTGGTCTAGTTTGGTCTGGTCTAGTTTGGTTTGGTCTAGTTTGGTCTGGTCTGGTTTGGTTTGGTTTGGTTTGGTCTGGTCTGGTCTAGTTTGGTTTGGTCTGGTCTAGTTTGGTCTGGTCTAGTTTGGTTTGGTCTAGTTTGGTCTGGTCTGGTCTGGTCTAGTTTGGTTTGGTCTGGTCTGGTCTAGTTTGGTTTGGTCTGGTCTGGTCTAGTTTGGTCTGGTCTAGTTTGGTGTGGTCTGGTTTGGTCTGGTCTAGTTTGGTGTGGTCTGGTTGTTATCTGGCTCTAGTTAAATGAGATTCACCAGTAGTGTCTAACGCCGCAGCTGTTTTCTCTCCTCACAATAGCAGAGCATGTTCACTGGTAAACACTGGAGGATCCGGCCACCCCTGCGGCTGTCACTCGTGAGGCGTGGCTCCGCCCCTAGACTGTCAATCATGAGGCTCGGCTCCGCCCCCAGTCTGTGACCTCTGAGCCTAGAGGTCATGAGAATCAGCCGCTCCTCCTCCTGCTCTCTTCATTGTGTTCTGAAGTTCACGGCCGCATGAAGACTGAGAAACACACATCTGCTCATCAGAACGTGAGTGTGTGTGTGTGTGTGTGTGTGTGACCATGTGACCCGCAGGAAAACACTTACAGCTTCGCAGACGGAGTCAAACGCCTTGAAATTATGCTGAATCTATTACACAAATGTTCAATAAAGCATCACAGATATTACAGTGTTCACTAGGCCACACCATGAACAAGTACCACGGTAAATTACAGTGTTTTTAATCATACTATCATGATATATGAATATGCTTATGATTCAATACCATGGGAAACATGATACTTCTCATATACTGAAAGTAATTCAACATTTAATATCTGCATGTGTTTTCAGCATTAACCGTCATCAGAGAATGTTAATAAAGTGTTGAAATATTAACTTAAAATCTCAAGAAGATATATAAGCTCAAAGATGTTCGACTGATGAAAGATGGAGAATCCCTGAAGTACACGACTATAAAATGAGTCTACATACGAACTCTTTTAAAATGTTATGTTAATAAAATAAAGGTTTGTGTTTAAAGCATCCCATGATGCACCTGGGGAAGTGTTCAGAGTCAGCAGAGCTGCTCAAATATACACTAATGCTCAAAGTTTGAAATAGTTATGATTTATTCATTTGTCTGAAAGAGGCTCTTCTGCTCACCAAGGCTGTGTTTATATGATCAAAATTACAGTAAAAATGGTGAAATATTATTATAATTTAAATCAGCTGTTTTCTATCAGGAGAATCAAGAGAATCGAGTGTCTAATGACTCACAGCATCTCGTCTCGTCGTGTGTGTGTGTGTGTGTGTGTGTGTGTTTGAGAGTTTGTGTCCAATATTCTATAATCTGGACATTTCACAGAGGCATTATACATGTTTTTGTGTGTGTGTGTGTGTGTGTGTGTGTGTGTGCATATTAACATTATAAATGTCTTTACAGTCACTTTTGATCAATGTAAGATATAGAATCATATAGAACTAATATAGTGCGTTAAAATAGAATCAAGTAGTTAATATAGAACCAATAATTATTGAGCATCAAATCATCATATTAGAATGATTGTGATTGTGTGTGTGTGTGTGTGTGTGTGTGTGTGTGTGTGTGTGTGTGTGTGTGTGTGTGTGTGTGTGTGTGTGTGTGTGCGCGAAATTATCATATTCATGACACTGATCTGGTTCCCACAGTGCTGAATAGACTCTGGTGCTAATTAGGAAAATGAAGCAGTCGCCGCTCACGTGCATGCGTGTGCGTGTGTGTGTGTGTGTGTGTGTGTGTGTGTGTGTGTGTGTGTGTGTGTTACAGCAGAATGCTTGTGACACAAACACAGAAGAGAGTTTGACCACAGGCACATGCGGTGTAGATCTTTTGGATTAACCTTGTGAACCCTGTGTCTGTGTGTGTGTGTGTGTGTGTGTGTCTGTGTGTGTGTGTGTGCACAGCAGCTGCCTCAGGATTACGGGCCCTTATAATGAGATCTCAATCACCCCCCACCCAGTCTGACCCCGACCCTAAAGACCCAGTCATATGATAATGAGGGTCAGGTCAAAGGTCAGGGTCAGTGTCTGGCTCAGGTCTGTCTGTCTGAACATGAACTTCAACAAACTCAGAATCAGAGCAAAGCTCCTGCAGTGACTGAATCACACACACACACTCTCACACACACACACACACAATATCAAGTCTAGTGCTAATTTCATAAAAATCTTTAAATGGTTGAAACTGAAGTTTTAAATCTCAGTGAAGCATCAGAAGAAAACACAGACTAATCAACAGATTCATTATCAAAATAATAGTTTGTTACAGAACTAATATCAATATAAAGTTATCATCAATATAACACACAAGCATCAGTATAAATGTAAATGAGGACGAAGAGATCTCAGATAATGACTGCTAATTGAACTCATTAAAGCTTTAATGAATGACTCCACTAATAACAGGACAGTCATTTACATATGAGCAGTGTCTGCATTAAAGGAACAGGGCTATTAGTTATGATATTTCACACAGATATTTCCTGAACCTGAATAAACAAGTCTGAAACAAAGACAGAAGCGTCATCGCCGCTCACACACACACACACACACTGAGGGAACTGAAGCATCATCGGCGCTCACACACACACACACACTGAGGGAACTGAAGCGACTCACCTGAGAGTGTGTAGAGCAGGAGCACGACTGAGACCCTCGCCTTCATTCCTGCAGGAGTTTCATCCTCTGACACAGCAAAGCAAACGCGAATATTCCTCATCCAGAACCACAATATTCCTCATCCACAATCATAATACTCCTCTCTGAGTCTCTGAGCGCGAGTCTCATCAGATGTGTTCTCCAGCAGGGGCGGGGCCACGCGCCAGCAGCCAATCAGAGAGCAGTGGGAGACAAGGACACGCCCCTCGCGCAGAGGTGCTGCGGCGCTACTGTTGATCAGGTAAACATGTATATTTCCTACTGTAAACGGGGGTTTCCTCGACTTTTGGTTTATTTTTTTTAAATAGATACATTTGTAATATTGATTCCCACTAAATTAGTGATTTCCACCTTTTCTTTTAATAATTCATGATATATAAAATTAGCACAAGACTATATTATATATAATTGAAATAGAAAGAAATATATATATATATATATATATATATATATATATATATATATATAAAGTCTTTATATATCATGAATTAATAAAAGAAAAGGTGGAAATCTTACAGGTGGAAATATATTTTATATATTTTTTTCCCCCTATTTTCTTATAAAATGCATATATTAAAATAACACGTCGTGCTAATTTCCTAAACATCCTTTAAAAAATTTAATTGTAAAAAATATAAATGTGTTATATAAAATGTACATATAAAAATATCAAATGTCTCGAGCTAATTTCATAAACATCCTCTTTTAAAATGTATTTATATTTAAACTATCAATTGTCTCGAGCTAATTATACATCAATCAATCACATTTATTTATATAGCATGTTTAAAAAACAACACACGTTGGCCAAAGTGCTTTACATACAGCCCAGCACATATAATCTAAGAGTATAAAACAATTACAAAAACTTAATTACAATCAAATGCAAGAGAGAAGAGATGAGTCTTTAAATGAGATTTAAATGCATTAAGGGTGGCACAAGATCTAGCATGGAGGGGTAAACTGTGCCATTGAGAAGGATCTGAAACAGAGAAGGCCTGTCTCTCTCTCCTTTAGGTTTAGTCGAGACTTTGGACTGGTTAACTGAAGCCTTTGTGCAGATCTTAAAGGCCTAGAGGGTGTGTGTTGCTGAAGAAGTTCACTAATGTAACTATTCCATCCCATTTAAACAAATAATAACATTTAACACGAATAAATTTGACTGGAAGCCAATGAAGGGATGCTAGTCCAGGTGTTACTCGCATATTAGTCCCAGTTAAAAGCCTTGCAGGAGCAACTGAACCAGCTGGAGACGCGAAGCACAATGAGTTACAATAGTCCAATGTGGATGTAAGAAAAGCATGCATAACAACTTCCAAATCAGTAAAAGACAAAAGGCTTCAATTTCGCTATATTCCTTAATTGGAAGAAGCCACCTCTAACCACTGAATTTATCAAACTGTAACTCGGCATCAAGAAGAGCTCCAAGACTCCTAGCTTGAGTATGTCCCTTCCATTTAAAAAGGCCTAATTGATTAATTATATGTTTGGAAGAACTCGGAGGGCCAAACACTCACTTCAGTCTTTGATTCATTCAAGTGGAGAACATTGGCTGACATCCACTCCTTAATATCATGAAAACAATCAAAAAGAGACTGCAGGGCTGAATTATCCTGAGTATCATCTGCATTAAGATGATAATATACATTATGTTTTTTTACAAATATCAGCCAGTGGAAGCATGTAAATAGAAACTAAGACTGGACCCAATATTGATCCTTGTGGAACCCCACACTTCATTATAGCAGAACGAGATGAAACATGTCCTAATTCTCCCAGAAAGATATGAGTTGAACCAGTTCAGAGCTTCTCCTTGAATCCCATTTAAATAAGTGGAAAGCTGCTTTCTTTATGCATACAGTAGACTATATAACGTACATATGAAAATATATCTAATGTGCTAATTTCATAAATCACCTTCATCAATCATCTTTTAAAACGTATGCAATTAAACATCAAATGTCCTGAGCAATGTATAAATATATTTATATATAATTACATATATTCCTAATTACTTATATAAAATATCAAACGTCTTGAGCAATATATATATAATTATATTTAATATTATATATTGTATTTTGTTCTACTTTAAATGTATATATATATTTAAATATATTTCATTTATATATAATTATATTTTATATTTCTTATATACAATGTATATAAAAATACCCAAATTCTCGTTCTAATTTTATAAAAATGATATTTTAATATGGTAGAAATATTTGATCTGGTAGAAGTGTTAAATCTCATGGCAGATCTGGAGAAAACACACGGAGAACGAAGGTTTTTAAAACTCTTTTCTTAAAAAACAAAACAACATTCACAACAAAGGTCAAAGGTCACATCAATATAAATTACCACAGCAAACACATGAAAACTTAAATATAGCTTTATAATCTCTCTTTTGTGGTTAAACGTTATAAAGAAGCGTCCTGGTGAATCCGCTGGTTATTGCAGAGAACGAACGAGAGCAGAAACGACATCATTTCCTGTAACGCCATTAAACAGTTCCAGTCGGGGTCACACACTCGGGGTCACACTCAGGGTCACACTCGGGGTCACACACTCGGGGTCACACTCAGGGTCACACACTTGGGGTCACACACTTGGGGTCACACTCAGGGTCACAGTCGGGGTCACACTCAGGGTCACACTTGGGGTCACAGTCGGGGTCACACACTCAGGGTCACACTTGGGGTCACAGTCGGGGTCACACTCAGGGTCACACTTGGGGTCACACTCAGGGGTCACACTCGGGGTCACACACTCAGGGTCACAGTCGGGGTCACACACTCGGGGTCACACTCAGGGGTCACACTCGGGGTCACACACTCAGGGTCACAGTCGGGGTCACACACTCGGGGTCACACTCAGGGGTCACACTCGGGGTCACACTTGGGGTCACAGTCGGGGTCACAGTCGAGGTCACACACTCGGGGTCACACACTTGGGGTCACAGTCGGGGTCACACACTTGGGGTCAGTCGGGGTCACACTCAGGGGTCACAGTCGGGGTCACACTCAGGGTCACACTCAGGGTCACACTTTAGGGTCACACACTCGGGGTCACACACTCGGGGTCACACACTCTGGGTCACACTCAGGGTCACAGTCGGGGTCAGACACTTGGGGTCACACACTCGGGGTCACACTCAGGGTCACAGTCGGGGTCACACACTCGGGGTCACCCACTCAGGGTCACACTCAGGGGTCACAGTCGGGGTCACACACTTGGTGTCACACACTCAGGGTCACACACTCGGGGTCACACACTCGGGGTCACACTCGGGGTCACACACTCGGGGTCACCCACTCGGGGTCACCCACTCGGGGTCACAGTCGGGGGTCACACTCAGGGGTCACAGTCGGGGTCACACTCGGGGTCACACACTTGGGGTCACACACTCAGGGTCACACTCGGGGTCACACACTCAGGGTCACAGTCGGGGTCACCCACTCGGGGTCACCCACTCAGGGTCACAGTCGGGGTCACACTCAGGGGTCACAGTCGGGGTCACACTCGGGGTCACACTCGGGGTCACACACTCAGGGTCACACACTCGGGGTCACACACTCGGGGTCACACACTCGGGGTCACACACTCGGGGTCACACACTCGGGGTCACAGTCGGGGTCACACACTCAGGGGTCACAGTCGGGGTCACACTCGGGGTCACACACTCAGGGTCACACACTCAGGGTCACACACTCGGGGTCACACACTCGGGGTCACACACTCGGGGTCACACACTCGGGGTCACAGTTGGGGTCACACACCTCACAGACCTCAAACACAGATCACAGCCTTTATTACTCTCACACACACACACGAGTCGCTGGAACCCGGATCACAAGCGTCAGTCTGGAGGATATGAGGAACATCAGTTAACATGAACTAACCCTGAACAACACTATTCATCTCAGCTGTTCCTGGAGGCAAATTTGAACATTTCCTAATGCATTATTAAAATCAAGAGTTGAACATTAGTAAACATGAGCTAACCGTGAAGATGTTTATTAGCTGACATAACCAGGATTATTAAACGCTGTAAAGTGCTCATAGTTAGTTAATGCATTAACAAATGAGGCTTTGTGTAAAAGTGCAACCAGATTATTATTTTATTACATAACTGTCATGAAATCAAGCACATTTACCACCAAAACGCTCATTAATGCATCACTCAGAAAATGATCTATATGAAAATCACAATTTGTGTCAATTGCCAATTATCATTGATATTTAAATTAAATTGTGTGATTTATAGGCTTGAATGCATCTATTTTCTGTTTAATTTAATACTGTACTCCTATTTACTGTATCCTATTATTTTTTTTAATGTTTTCCTATAAAGTGCTATAATTCACACTGGTTAATGCATCAAATAACAGTATTTATTATAGTATACAGCTGTTAGTTCCTGTTAGCTATAATATTAACAGGTGAAATAATGCATTAGTAAATGTTGAAATGAACAGAGCGAGATTAATGCATGTGTTGCTCATGTGGAACTAATGTTCACATTATCATAAAGTGTTTCTGAAAAAAAGAAAAACTAAAATCCGCATAACTTCAATCATGACGTTTAGATTTAATGAGATCATCGTTGCGTCGTCATTCACTCGCTCTCGTCCTTCTGATGCTGGGAACGGCTTTGGACCCCATTGGCTCTGATGATGGAGCCTCTGTGGTGTTTGAGTGCCGTGAGGCGTCACATGACGTTTGAGTGCCGTGAGGCGTCACATGATGTTTGAGTGCCGTGAGGCGTCACATGACGTTTGAGTGACGTGAGGCGTCACATGACGTTTGAGTGCCGTGAGGCGTCACATGATGTTTCAGCGATGTGAGGCGTCACATGATGTTTGAGTGCCGTGAGGCGTCACATGATGTTTCAGCGATGTGAGGCGTCACATGATGTTTGAGTGACGTGAGGCGTCACATGACGTTTGAGTGACGTGAGGCGTCACATGACGTTTGAGTGCCGTGAGGCGTCACATGATGTTTCAGCGATGTGAGGCGTCACATGATGTTTCAGCGATGTGAGGCGTCACATGACGTTTGAGTGACGTGAGGCGTCACATGACGTTTGAGTGACGTGAGGCGTCACATGATGTTTCAGCGATGTGAGGCGTCACATGATGTTTGAGTGACGTGAGGCGTCACATGACGTTTGAGTGACGTGAGGCGTCACATGATGTTTCAGCGATGTGAGGCGTCACATGACGTTTGAGTGACGTGAGGCGTCACATGACGTTTGAGTGCCGTGAGGCGTCACATGATGTTTGAGTGCCGTGAGGCGTCACATGATGTTTGAGTGACGTGAGGCGTCACATGATGTTTGAGTGCCGTGAGGCGTCACATGATGTTTGAGTGACGTGAGGCGTCACATGACGTTTGAGTGACGTGAGGCGTCACATGACGTTTGAGTGCCGTGAGGCGTCACATGATGTTTGAGTGCCGTGAGGCGTCACATGATGTTTGAGTGCCGTGAGGCGTCACATGATGTTTGAGTGACGTGAGGCGTCACATGATGTTTGAGTGACGTGAGGCGTCACATGACGTTTGAGTGACGTGAGGCGTCACATGACGTTTGAGTGCCGTGAGGCGTCACATGACGACGGGACGATGGTCTCGGACACACGTGCCCCTCACATGACCAGAGTTCGGGGGTGAGTGTGTTTAATAGCGTCTCGCTGGTAAAATCTTGATCAAGAGGGTTTTCTAAAGGAAACGCATCATCACATGAAAACCTTTAAAACGACTGGATAAAAGCATGATCACATGACACTGCGGTCACATGACTAGTTCACTAAATAACTGTCCAGATGAAGATGATGGTGGTCGGGAAACATCTGACATGAACACGAGCTCAAAGCTGGTCTAAACAGACTCCCATGATGCCTTCTGTTATTCCGAACTGAAGATAATGGACGAGGTAATCCTCGAGCCGGAGTCGTTTCTGCTGCAGAACCGCTGATCCTCATCATCATCATCATCCTCATCCTCAGATCAAGACTCACAGCTGACACTGAAGTCTTCATTTCAACTTTTCATCTCATAATTTCGACTGTCATAATTATGAATTTACAAAGCATGATCGTTGTTGTTTATGTGGCAGAAACGGGCGTCCAGAGTGAGGACAGGAAGTGTGTGTGTCTGAGGGAGGTCCGTTTGCTCAGCATTGTGGGATACGGAAGCAGTTTCTGAAGGAAGAGGCGCACATTCCCATAATGCAACGCAGAACACGTGGGTGTCTTCAGTGAAGCAGTTGGAGTGTGTGTGTGTGTGTGAGTGTGAGAAGGCAGACAGCAAGACATGACGAAACAGAGTGTTTCTGTGTTTGTGTGTGTATGTGTGTGTGTGTGTGAGTGAGTGAGCGTGTGATCATGCGTGTGTTTGTGTGTGTGTGTATTTGTGAGTATGTGTGTGTGAGTGTGAGCATGTGTGTTGGAGTGTGTGTTGGAGTTTGTGCGTGTTTGACTGAGTGTGTGCGTGCGTGCGTGCGTGTGTGTTTGTGCGTGTATGTTTGTGAGTTGGAGTGTGTGTTGGAGTTTGTGTGTTGCAGTGTGAGCATGTGTGTGAGAGTGTGTGTGAGTGTGTGTGAGTGTTTCAGCACTCCAGCGGCAGCAGAAAGCAGCGTCTACAGTCCACAGCTTTAGCACTGGGCGGCTGAACTCTCTTCTTCCGCAGCTCCTCTCGACCCACAGATCCACTCAAGCGCACGTACGCCGCCTTGTAGCGCTTATCGAACGCAGCTGCAGACACACACACACACACACACACACACACACACACACAGTTTACACAGTTATTGAGCAGAACTGAATCAACACTCATTTCAGCTGAATAATGACATATAGTGTTTTAGAGCTGCATTGCTGCAGTTTAAAGGGATCGTTCACCCGAAGATGAACATGAACATTAGGCCTCGATTTACTCTCCCTCAACTCATCCTAGTGTATATGACACTCTTCTGTCAGACGAACACAATCAGAGTTATATTAAACATGTCCTGGCTCTTCCAAGCTTATAATGGCAGTGAATGGCTGTTTGTGTTTGGAAGTCCATAAAAGTGCATCTATCCATCATAAAAGTGCATCTGTCCATCATAAAAGTGCATCTATCCATCATAAAAGTGGATCTGTCCATCATAAAAGTGCATCTATCCATCATAAAAGTGCATCTGTCTATCATAAAAGTGCATCTATCCATCACAAAAGTGCATCTCTCCATCATAAAAGTGCATCTATCCATCATAAAAGTGCATCTATCCATCATAAAAGTGTATCTGTCCATGATAAAAGTGCATCTATCCATCATAAAAGTGCATCTGTCCATCATAAAAGTGCATCTGTCCATCATAAAAGTGCATCTATCCATCATAAAAGTGCATCTATCCATCATAAAAGTGCATCTGTCCATCATAAAAGTGCATCTATCCATCATAAAAGTGGATCTGTCCATCATAAAAGTGCATCTATCCATCGTAAAAGTGCATCTGTCCATCATAAAAGTGCATCTATCCATCACAAAAGTGCATCTATCCATCATAAAAGTGCATCTATCCATCATAAAAGTGCATCTATCCATCATAAAAGTGCATCTGTCCATCATAAAAGTGCATCTATCCATCATAAAAGTGGATCTGTCCATCATAAAAGTGCATCTGTCCATCATAAAAGGGCATCTGTCCATCATAAAATGGCATCTATCCATCATAAAAGTGCATCTATCCATCATAAAATTGCATCTGTCCATCATAAAAGTGCATCTATCCATCATAAAAGTGGATCTGTCCATCATAAAAGTGCATCTATCCATCATAAAAGTGCATCTGTCCATCATAAAAGTGCATCTGTCCATCATAAAAGGGCATCTGTCCATCATAAAAGGGCATCTATCCATCATAAAAGTGCATCTGTCCATCATAAAAGTGCATCTATCCATCATAAAAGTGCATCTATCCATCATAAAAGTGCATCTATCCATCATAAAAGTGCATCTATCCATGATAAAAGTGCATCTGTCCATCATAAAAGTGCATCTGTCCATCATAAAAGTGCATCTATCCATCATAAAAGTGCATCTATCCATCATAAAAGTGGATCTGTCCATCATAAAAGTGCATCTGTCCATCATAAAAGTGCATCTATCCATCATAAAAGTGGATCTGTCCATCATAAAAGTGCATCTGTCCATCATAAAAGTGCATCTGTCCATCATAAAAGTGCATCTGTCCATCATAAAAGTGCATCTGTCCATCATAAAAGTGTATCTGTCCATGATAAAAGTGCATCTATCCATCATAAAAGTGCATCTGTCCATCATAAAAGTGCATTTATCCATCATAAAAGTGGATCTGTCCATGATAAAAGTGCATCTGTCCATCATAAAAGTGTATCTGTCCATGATAAAAGTGCATCTATCCATCATAAAAGTGCATCTGTCCATCATAAAAGTGCATCTATCCATCATAAAAGTGCATCTGTCCATCATAAAAGTGCATCTATCCATCATAAAAGTGCATCTGTCCATCATAAAAGTGCATCTATCCATCATAAAAGTGCATCTGTCCATCATAAAAGTGCATCTGTCCATCATAAAAGTGCATCTGTCCATCATAAAAGTGTATCTGTCCATGATAAAAGTGCATCTATCCATCATAAAAGTGCATCTATCCATCATAAAAGTGCATCTATCCATCATAAAAGTGCATCTATCCATCATAAAAGTGCATCTGTCCATCATAAAAGTGCATCTATCCATCATAAAAGTGCATCTGTCCATCATAAAAGTGCATCTGTCCATCATAAAAGTGCATCTGTCCATCACAAAAGTGCATCTGTCCATCATAAAAGTGCATCTGTCCATCATAAAAGTGCATCTGTCCATCACAAAAGTGCATCTGTCCATCATAAAAGTGCATCTGTCCATCATAAAAGTGCATCTGTCCATCAGAAAAGTGCATCTGTCCATCAGACAAGTGCATCTGTCCATCAGAAAAGTGACATGGATAGATTTATGATGGACAGATGCACTTTTATGATGGATAGATGCACTTTTATGGACTTCCAAACACAAACAGCCATTCACTGCCATTATAAGCTTGGAAGAGTCAGGACATGTTTAATATAACTCAGATTGTGTTCGTCTGACAGAAGAGTGTCATATACACTAGGATGAGTTGAGGGAGAGTAGATCATGGGCTGATGCTCATCTTCGGGTGAACGATCCCTTTAAACTGCTTTGAAACAATCTGTGAGATAGAATCTAAAGAATGAGACGTAATATTGAGCATCATGTGTCGTGTTTGATGTTTTGGAGCAAAAATCATCCGCTGATTTCATTTTGATCAGTGGTTTTGTGTGACTCACCGACGTGATCTTTGCCCATGGCAGCCAGTGTGAGGAAGAGCATCTCTCTGTACAGACTCCTGCGCACACACAAACACACACACACACACACACACACATCAGGTCTCTCTCAGGTCTCTAACCCTACGGCCGTGTGTCCAGCAAGCGTTCACAACATCTAGCTGTGTTGTTTCTATATAAAAATGTTGATAGATTATTATAGTATTTGCTCTGGCTCTTGTTTTAAATCTGTTGACGTTGTACAAGCAGAATGTGGCGGTTGGTCGGTGTGGTATTAGCCCCGCCCCTCCTCCACTGTGATTGGACGGCTGGATGGAAAGTGACAGTGATGAGCGCTGAATTAAACATTCTTGAACTCTCGGCAACCAAAAAAAAAAAAAAAAAAATTAAAAACGAGGCGCTCTCGTTGAAAATAAGAAAAATACGGCAGCCGCGTGAAAAACCGCTTTGGTGGACACAGGGCGTAACCGTCTCCTCATCTCACCTCTGTAACCGGGGCGGGCCGGGTTGCTTAGCAACCGTCTCCAGGAAGAGTGTGATGGCCTTGTGCACCTCGTTCATGCCGACCCACCGAAGCACTTCCTCCAGGAACCCGAGGCTGAAGGGATGGTTGTGATGCCGCCAGTTGTAGCCGCGCATCGGGACGCCACCTAGAGGAGAGGAGGGGGAGATCACGTGACCCACACACACACACACACACACACACACGCTCCTCAGATGATAAACTGACTGAAGCTCTTACTGTGGATCCTCCAGAGCATGTAGAGCGGCGGCCATTGCTCCATATCAGGGGTCAAAGTGTCCCACATCAGCCTGACCCGCACCGACACGCCCTCTGACCCCTGAGACACACACACACACTATCAGAAGGGGCTTTAACATCAAATTTAAGGCATTAGATATCTTTCGATTCACCGGCAGAATGAAAATGCAGAATTACAGAAGGCAGAATTTCACTCTGACAGAACATGTGTGTGTGCTATAGTGAGGTGTCCCCTGTGTACAGCTGCGCTTTCTGGAAATGTGATGGGTTTGAAGGAAAGGTGTGTGTGTGTGTGTGTGTGTGTGTGTGTGTGTGTGTGTGTGTGTGTGTGAGAGAGAGACCTGTGTGTGTCGAGTGATCAGCTGGGTCAGGTTGCTGGGAGTGTGTGTGTGTGTGTGTGTGTGTGTGTGTGTGTGTGTGTGTGTGTAAGAGAGACCTGTGTGTGTCGAGTGATCAGCTGGGTCAGGTTGCTGGGAGTGTGTGTGTGTGTGTGTGTGTGAGAGAGACCTGTGTGTGTCGAGTGATCAGCTGGGTCAGGTTGCTGGGAGAGTGTGTGTGTGTGTGTGTGTGTGTGTGAGAGAGACCTGTGTGTGTCGAGTGATCAGCTGGGTCAGGTTGCTGGGAGAGTGTGTGTGTGTGTGTGTGTGTGTGTGTGAGAGAGACCTGTGTGTGTCGAGTGATCAGCTGGGTCAGGTTGCTGGGAGAGTGTGTGTGTGTGTGTGTGTGTGTGAGAGAGACCTGTGTGTGTCGAGTGATCAGCTGGGTCAGGTTGCTGGGAGAGTGTGTGTGTGTGTGTGTGTGTGTGTGAGAGAGACCTGTGTGTGTCGAGTGATCAGCTGGGTCAGGTTGCTGGGAGAGTGTGTGTGTGTGTGTGTGTGTGTGTGTGAGAGAGACCTGTGTGTGTCGAGTGATCAGCTGGGTCAGGTTGCTGGGAGTGTGTGTGTGTGTGTGTGTGTGTGTGTGAGAGAGACCTGTGTGTGTCGAGTGATCAGCTGGGTCAGGTTGCTGGGAGTGTGTGTGTGTGTGTGTGTGTGTGTGTGTGTGTGTGTGTGTGTGTGTGTGTGTGTGTGTGAGAGAGAGACCTGTGTGTGTCGAGTGATCAGCTGGGTCAGGTTGCTGGGAGTGTGTGTGTGTGTGTGTGTGTGTGTGTGTGTGTGTGTGTGTGTGTGTGTGTGTGAGAGAGAGACCTGTGTGTGTCGAGTGATCAGCTGGGTCAGGTTGCTGGGAGTGTGTGTGTGTGTGTGTGTGTGTGTGTGTGTGTGTGAGAGAGAGACCTGTGTGTGTCGAGTGATCAGCTGGGTCAGGTTGCTGGGAGTGTGTGTGTGTGTGTGTGTGTGTGTGTGTGTGTGTGTGTGTGTGAGAGAGACCTGTGTGTGTCGAGTGATCAGCTGGGTCAGGTTGCTGGGAGTGTGTGTGTGTGTGTGTGTGTGTGTGTGTGTGTGTGTGTGTGTGTGTGTGTGTGTGTGTGAGAGAGAGACCTGTGTGTGTCGAGTGATCAGCTGGGTCAGGTTGCTGGGAGTGTGTGTGTGTGTGTGTGTGTGTGTGTGTGTGTGTGTGTGTGTGTGTGTGAGAGAGAGACCTGTGTGTGTCGAGTGATCAGCTGGGTCAGGTTGCTGGGAAGGCCGAGCCTCATGAAGTACCACACCAGGTTCCAGAAGAGGATGGAGTGGCTGTCCAGGAACTGGACCTGAGAGAGAACAGCCTCGCCCTCGTTCTCCAGCAGACTCTCCATCTCCTTCCGCAGGACGAGCGGGCTCAGGTACGCCACCGTCACCTGCGGGGCCCCGCCCCCCTGGCTGCTGCTGCCCTCTGATTGGCTGCTGGTCTCGGAGGCGGAGTCTGTGTCTCGGAGGCCGTTGCACAGGTGTGTGTCGCTCCGGCCAGCAGGGGCTCTCATGAGGTTCTGCAGCTCGTCCTCCGCGCTCAGGTGACTGCGCTCCGCACTACACACACACACACACACACACACACACACACTGTAAGTTATTCCCAGATAACAGCCTCTGAGAGCAGAAACACAGGCTCATCCGGGTCACTGAGGTCATCAGCGCTACACACTCGCTAGGAACGGGTTTTCTTCATGGAAGTTTTGCATTTGGTGAGCTGATAAAATATTAAAACTCAGTCGAATCAATATTTTGTGTAGTTATTTAATTATCCATCCAGTATCGCGGACTCGCTCTCTCTCGTTTCACACAAACGCAGCGGCGGCCATTTTGTGACTTTTGTTTTGTACACTGTTGGATTATAAGATACAAACATGATTTTAAAACAGTTTAATCTGAAATCAATATCTCTGATCTCCATAATTATTAATATGTTGAAATGCTGTGTAATAAGTGTTATGACTGTATACCGTATCTCTTGAATGATGCGACTGCTCTCTCCGAGAAGCTTTGTGTTTAAAGAACTAATCAAATATTTCCACTCAGATCAATATTTCGTGTCTAGTGATTTACTGATGTGGCAAGTGTCCGTGTAATAACGGGATAATGAACATCCAGACGGCTGTTATCACAGAATAAACCCCTTCAGGTGTGTGTGTGTGTGTGTGATCTCAGAATAAACCCCTTCAGGTGTGTGTGTGTGTGTGTGATCTCAGAATAAACCCCTTCAGGTGTGTGTGTGTGTGTGTGTGTGTGAGAGAGAGAGAGAGAGACCTGCAGACGGGCCCCGGGTCACAGATCTGTGCGTTCAGCAGCGGGACGAACGGTGCGGAGCAGAACGGGCACGAGGTGTTGAGATTCGAGTCGTCAGACGTCCAGCCGGCCATGATCTCCTCATCGTACACCAGAGAGTTACAGCTGCGGCACAGCGAGCAGCTCGACATCAGCACCTGCACACACACACACACCCCACACGCACCACACACGCCACACGCACCACACACGCACCACACACGCCACACACACCCCACACGCACCACACACGCCACACGCACCACACACGCACCACACACGCCACACGCACACACACACACACACACACACCCCACACGCACCACACACGCCACACGCACACACACACACGCACCACACACGCCACACGCACACACACACACACACACACACACACACCCCACACGCACACACACACACACCCCACACGCACCACACACGCCACACGCACACACGCACCACACACGCCACACGCACACACACACACGCACCACACACGCACCACACGCACCACACACACCACACGCACACACACACACACACCCCACACGCACACACACACACACCCCACACGCACCACACACGCCACACGCACCACACGCACCACACGCACACACACACACACCCCACACGCACACACACACACACACCCCACACGCACCACACACGCCACACGCACCACACACCCCACACGCACCACACACCCCACACGCACCACACGCACACACGCACACACACACACACCCCACACGCACCACACACCCCACACGCACCACACGCACACACGCACACACACACACACCCCACACGCACACACACACACACCCCACACGCACCACACGCACCACACACGCCACACACACCACACGCACACACACACACACCCCACACACACACACCCCACACGCACCACACGCACCACACACGCCACACGCACACACACACACGCACCACACACGCACACACGCACCACACACACCACACGCACACACACACACACCCCACACGCACACACACACACACCCCACACGCACCACACACGCCACACGCACCACACGCACCACACACACCACACGCACACACACACACACACACACACACACACACCCCACACGCACCACACACGCCACACGCACCACACACCCCACACGCACCACACACGCCACACGCACACACACACACGCACCACACACGCACACACGCACCACACGCACCACACACACCACACGCACACACACACACACCCCACACGCACACACACACACACCCCACACGCACACACGCACACACGCACCACACACACCACACGCACACACACACACACCCCACACGCACACACACACACACCCCACACGCACCACACACGCCACACGCACCACACGCACCACACACACCACACGCACACACACACACACACACACACCCCACACGCACCACACACGCCACACGCACCACACACCCCACACGCACCACACACGCCACACGCACACACACACACGCACCACACACGCCACACGCGCCACACACACACACACACACGCGCCACACGTACACACACACACGACACACACACACACGCACCACACACACACACGCACACACACACACACAAGCACGCAAGCACACACACACACACACACCACATGCACCACACACGCCACACACACACCACACGCATGCGCACAGACATTCACACCACACGCACACACACACACACACACAAACGCACACACACACACACACAACCCACACGCACGCACACACACACCCCACACGCACGCATGCACACATTCACACCACACGCACACACACACGAACGCACACCCACACACACACACACACACACACACAACCCACACGCACGCACACGCACAGACACACACACACACACACGCACACACACACACGCACACACACACATTATGGTCATATTCCATCAGGTCAACAAGATGTCAGTCTGTGTTAGTGTCGCTTCACACACCTCAATCCCCGCCCCTTCCTGTGCAGAATCCCACGACTTCCTGAGAGGAACCGCCAGCGTTTGGATGTCAATCATGTCGATGTCACTCCCGACAGACAGCGAGCTCTACACACACACACACACACACAGCAGAATGTGTTACTCGCTAATTAGTGTGTGTAAGAGTCTCAGTGTGTGTGTGTGAGAGTGTGTGTGTAAGTGTGTAAGTGTGTGTAGGGCGGTCACCTCAGATGTGGAGTTATACAGTGTGTGTAAGTGTGTGTGTGTGTGTCGGTCACCTCAGACGTGGCGTTATACAGTGTGTGTGTGTGTGTGTGTCGGTCACCTCAGACGTGGCGTTATACAGTGTGTGTGTGTGTGTGTGTCGGTCACCTCAGACGTGGCGTTATACAGTGTGTGTGTGTGTGTGTGTGTGTCGGTCACCTCAGACGTGGCGTTATACAGTGTGTGTGTGTGTGTGTGTGTGTGTGTGTGTGTGTGTGTGTGTCGGTCACCTCAGACGTGGCGTTATACAGTGTGTGTGTGTGTGTGTGTGTGTGTGTCGGTCACCTCAGACGTGGCGTTATACAGCCTCTCTTTGGCCTTTAACAGACTCTCTGGGATCTGGATCTTGCGCGAGTGTTTGCGGTTTGAGCCTCCGCTTCCCGCGGGCCGTCGCTCGTCCACACTAGCGGTGTGTGTGTGTGAGCTCCCGGCTCCTCGGGGCCGCCGCTCGTCCACACTCGCGGCCCGCCGCACCGACCGGCTCCTGGAGGGCGTCAGAAGCTGCTGGAGTCGCACCGCTAGCCCGCGCTGAGGAGACCACGACACGTGGTTATAGTTCTCGTCCACCGGCTTACGGTTCAGAGTCTCCCTCACTTCTGCTGACCTGCAAACACACACACACGCCCACACTTACAGGTGACATCACTCCGCTTTTCACCAGATGTGATATAAATCTATGGTGTCTCCAGAATGTTTGTGTGAAATTTCAGCTTAAAATACCAGATCATTTATTATAGCTTGTCAAATTTGCCCCTTTTTGTGTGTGAGCAAGAACATGCCGTTTTAGTGTGTGTCCCTTTAAATGCAAATGAGCTTTAGCTCCGCCTCCATCCAGAAGAGGGCGGAGCTTCAGAGACTCCGGCAATAACAACACAGGCCGATCTCACTGATCCAGAATCAGGAGTAACAGCAGCGAGTGCAGCCTTACGGAGAGACTCAGGGAGAGCTTCACTTTTACACGTTTCTGAATGTTAGCGGAGACATTTCTGTAGTTGTTGTGGAGTTACACTGATCATCTCCTCATCATGTTGAACTCTTCCACAAGTGTCCACAGTTCCTGAGGTGTTTATAAGACAGCGCTGACATGTTCTGGTCAATAGTGTTCAGTGTCGTCTGTGCTCGACCACAGAACAGTTTCAGGCTTTGCTGGATCTTCTCCAGTGCGTTAGAACTGGTCTCTGTTGGCGCTCGCCGAACCCAATGTCGCTGGTGTGTGTGAACGTGCAGATTAAGGGCCGGTGATATTATAATAACATCCTCTTCATACGGCAGAAGGAGCGAAATCTGATCGGCTTATTTTAGACATGCTCTCAGAGAAAGACTCACCAGAACACAGTTACTGGGTTTCACTGTTCACGTGTCGGTAGAAGCGCCGGATTACAGCACTTACACACAGATTCTCATGATATGTCCTCTATAATGTGTTCATGTGAGAGGGGACGCAATCAGATGCTTTCTGAATTCACACAATTCTATCAGTTTCAAATAAGTTACGAGTTTATAAATATATTTATCAGTAAGTTAAAAAGTTTAACTTTAGGTTTTCCGCACCCCTGGTCTTGTGGACATCACCCTAAACTATACCCAATTATTTATTTTAAAATTATTTATCTTAATTTTACATTTTTACGATTCTTTATCATGATCCAGTTAATTTTAGAAAAAAGTATTTTGGTGTTTTTTTATTTTTAAACTGTTTATTTATTTTAATTTGACATTTTAATGATATACGGTAATCATTTTAGTAAAATTTTTTTTCTTCATTTTTATTTATTTAATTTTTAAATTTTAATGATTAATTTGATTTTAATTACAAAAATGTACTGCTTTTTATTTGTAAATTGTTTATTTTGATTTTACATTTTTATGATTTAATTAATTTTAGTAAATGTCATTCTGATTTTGAAAATATTTTTTCAATTGTTTATTTTAATTTTACGTTTATGTTTTACTTGATTTTAGTAAATGTTTTTTGACGTTTTTATTTGTAAATTATTTTAATTTAAAATTTGTATGATTTAATTAATTTTGGTAAATGTTATTTAGATTTTTAAAAATTGCTTATTTATTTTAATTTGTCATTTTTATGAAATTATTATTATAATTAATAATTATAATTATTATTATTTTAGTAAATGTTTTTGGGTATTTTTCGTTGTTTAAATCAACTATATATTTTAATTTGACATTTTTATGATTTAATATTATGTTTCTTGATTGTTTGTATTTATTCCTGTCAATAGTTGTGAGTGTGTGTGTACCTGCTGTCCCTCTCGGCCGGCTGACACCTGAAGTCTTCATCCGTGTTCTCCGCACAGTCTCTGTGGAAGGTGGACAGGCACACGTCACTGCGCCGCACCACAGCCGGAGCCGGAGCCGGGCCGGAGGGGGGCTTACGGGACGCTGCGGGATCCACTTCTGCTTTCTTCAACAGCTTCACCTCTGATAAACACAAGCAACACTGAAACTATCCGCCACAGACACCAGGTCAGCCTGTGCTGATCATCATCACTCACTGGCTCCTGACGCCTGAACGCTGCTCAGACTGCTGCTCTTCGTCAGCGACTCGTGGCTGGAGCTGTCACTCAACCCGCTCCAGCTGGACTGACGAATCAGAGCGGAGTAGGGGCGGGGCTTGGAAGGCGCTTCTAAAACAGGAAGAGAATGTGATAGAGATAGAGCGACACGTGTCATGATCTGAAGCAACGCCCACACCGGGGGGGACAAGCTGAACACACAGAAATACGTTTTCATAAAAATACAGTCAATGGAGACGGTTGGATTGTTCCCCCCGATGGGCGTGGCCTAAATGCTCTCTATGCTGCTGACAGCCGTCAATCATGTGCTGGAGGGGGAGGGGCTCAGACCTGCGCGGGACCCGAGAGACGCGCTCCGATGCTGCTGTTTGATTGGCTGCCTGAAATGAGCCACAGCCAATACCACGTTACGAAGCTTCGCCCAGCGAAGACGTCCTCCCTGATTGGTGGATGGCCACTTGCTCTCTAGCACTGCCTACAGACGGCAGAATAACACACACACACACACACACACACACACACACACACACACACACACGCATGAGGACACAGAGGCATTATATCAGGGATTTGCAAACTTATTCTTCAGCTACAATATTATCTTCTACTCCCCCTGAGATTTCTATAATATATCAACACATTCACAGTGAACGGTCACAACATGCAGCTACGTGTTTTACTTTGTTTTTAATTATTTGTTTTAATTTTTGTTTTAATTTGTACGATTTAATTTTAGTAAATGTTCTTGGTGTTTTTTATTATATCTTTTTTAAATAATTTATTTAGCTAGTTTTTAGTAAAAATGTTTGCTTTTTATTATTTTTTTATTTTAAATGGTACATTTTTATGATTTAAGTATTTTATTGCTTTTTTTTTTTCCTTTTAAGAATATTTATCATAATTTCACATTTTTAAGCTTTAAATAAATATTAGTTTTTCATCAAGGCACAAACCCCAGTTTGGGAAATTCTGATTTAATTTATAACTTTTTGGTAAATGTCTTTTAATATTTTTAAATTAGTCATTCATTAATTCATAACATTTTATATGATTTAATTAATTATTCAATTTTTTTCTTTTAAAATGATTTCATTTCACAATTTTATGATGTAATAATTATCAGCTTTCATCAACTCACAAACCCCAGTTTGAGTAAATATTTTATTTATGATTTAATTAATTTGAAGCAATTTTTTTTATTATTTAATCATTTGATTGTTTTCTTTTAACATTCTTTTTTTCTTTCACATTTTTATGATTTAATTATTAGCTTTTCATCAACTCACGAAACCAGTTTGAGAAATTGTTTTATGATTTAATAAATTTTATGTAAATGTTTTTAATGTTTTAATTATTTTAATTTGTCAGTTATGATTTTTTATTATTTTAATTAAAACATGAGAAATCTATTTTATGATTTAATAAATGAAGTAGATTTTTTTATGATTTAATTATTATATATATTTTTTATTGTAATAAAATTTTTTTAGAAATTATTTTTTTATGATTTAATTAAATTATATTTTTTAATATTTATTTTAATTTGACATGTTTATGATTTAATCAATTATTAGATATTTTCTTTTAAACCTATTTATTTTGACATTTTTATGATTTAATTAAATATAAAAAAAATGTATTTATTTTAATTTGGCATTTTTATGCTTTAATCAAACATTAGCGCTCCATCAGCTCTCGAACCCAAGTATTAGCTGAATAATATTAAATATGATCACCTTATTGTAGTAGCCGTAAGTGATGGTGTTGGGTGTGACTCCAGCCTTCTTCATCTCCAGCAGAACTCGCACCGCTAGAACCGGCTGCCCGTACTGACCACACAACTGCATCAGGATCCGGTAACACACCTGAGAGCGCACACACACACACACACACACACACACTTCAGTCCAGGTCGGAGAGAACACACACACACACACACACACTTCAATAACACATTAGCGGACCGGAGGCAATAATATGGAATTTCTCCAGAAAACTCCTTGCACAAAAGCACTTTCAAGGGCCTTGAATTTTCTTTTTCAGATTCAGAAACTCAGAAAGGGTTTCAGGGACCCGTGGGACCCCTGCGCTGTCAGCCAGAACCGGCTCTGTTACTGTAATCTCTGTAAAGCTGCTGTGACACAGAGTCTCTACTGTTGAAGCGCTGTCTAGATGGAGGCGGCTGGACTCTGACCTCGTCTGGCAGCACCACCTTCCGCGTCTCCATGTGCTTGAGCACCTCGTAGGCCGCGTGTAGCGCGCGCACCTTAGCGCTCTCCGCCTTCACGAAGGTGGGCAGGCAGATGAACCAGAGCCCGTAGCAGTGGCCCAGCAGGCACTTGGACCACATGTCCGGAACCGTGGAGTACTTCTGGGCCTTCTTCTGCGCCAGCTTGATCTCCTGCACACACACACACACACACACACACACACAAGCAGAGAGCGTCAGCCGCCTCACCCTGACCTCTGACCCCTGACCCCGTGACCTCATCCTCACCTGTTTGGTTCGGCGAGGGGCGGGGCTACTCGGGGCACTTCCTTTAGCAGGGGTCCGGAGATGATCCAGGGGCCGGTCGAACAGGTCCGGCAGGAGGACCGGGAACGTGTCATAGCTGTGGATCAACAAAACATTACGCATATCATTTCAATATTTACGTGTCATTGGATTTCATTTATGTCTTAATATATTTTGAATAAATGTTTTTTATGTTTTAAATTATTTATTAATTGTTGTGTTACTTTTTTCTGATTTAATAAATTATTCGATTTTCTTTCCTTTCAAAAAGATGTAATTTAAAAATGTTATGATTTAATTATTATCAGCTTTTCATCAACTCAAAACTCCCTCAGTTTGAGAAATTGTTTTATTTATGATTTAATACATTTTTAGCAATTTTTGTATTATTTATTTTAATTTAACTATATATTTCTGTGATTTCATTATTTGATTGATTGTTTTTTTAACATTATTTTTTATTTCACATTTTTATGATTTATTTATTATTAAATTATTTTATGACAATTTTTTTCTTTTTTTCTATATTATTTTAATTTAACTTATTTTAGGATTTAATTAAT